TGTGTGTGTGTGTTCTTGTGTACTTTGTCATTAGCATAAGCATGAAACCGCAGTGTGTTCCTGGAAATGTTGTTGTTTGGCTTAACTTGGGGGATTGTGGTTTTGTGCTTGTATGTGTGTGTGAGTTGTACACAGACAACTTTGGACAGGCCAAATGTGTCATGTCGAGCAGACTCTCAAAGAACTAAGAATGAGTAGGGGGGGGGGGATTTGAACAGTGGTAGAAAATGGAGGAGAGCAGTTTTGAAACAGCAGTTTTGAAATAGACCCTTGAATTCACATAAAGGAGAAACATTCTGCAAAACCAGTAACGAGCCTCTGAGGTTTAGATATTTACCAGGGAAACTATTCAATTAACTTAATACTGTGGGGGAAGAAACTTTGACTGTCGTCAAGAGCTCGGCAACTCACGTCAGAAACATCATAAAACAGGCTTCAATAGATTTAACTCGTTTTGCAAGGATACATAAACAAAACCTCTTATTATATAAATTGATGAACGTCATGTGTGTACAAATACATTTATACCTTTAAACGTATCACTATTTCTGTATCATGGCAGTATGGGCATGTATTTTCTACAACATGCCAGTTGTTTTTTGGCTGTGAAAACAATAATGACATATTATCTCTGTATACACTTTTCAATGGGAATGCTTTTTTTAGCTCTGGTTGTTGCCAAGTGCTTTTGGACATATTGGTTTTGTAACTACTTAATGGCAAATTTGTAACAAGACAAACTTATAGCACTATTCATGTTTTAAAAAGGCTAAGCTGCCAAAAGTGAGTTCAAATCTTTGAAAAAAAGTGTTCGCTAAAACTGCAAAGAAACTGCAGGAAAGTGCAGCGAATGAACAAAGAGTGACTGGAGGCTGGGAAAGAAGGAGACCGATGCATAATTCAGTGGTGAACATGCCGTCCAAAAATCCCCTGCACAGAACCACTTATACATATGTAGCCAGTGACACACACACACGCACGCACACACACACACACACACACACACACACACACACACATGCAAAGAGACACACACTGAGCACAGGATATTGTAATTGGAACAAGGTGCAGGGAGACTATGATCTCACCCCCTCCTGGCCTGTCATTCTCCTTCTCCTCCACTCTCTTTCATTGTTTTTTCTCCCGCCCCCCCGCCTCTCGCTTTCTTTCTCTCTCTCAAACTTACTTCTGCTTCTCCTGTACTATAACGTCTTATTATAGTACAGGAGAAGCAGAAGTAACTTTTTCTTTTCTTTTCTTCTGCCACGACACATACAAATACAATAACACACACATGTGCAGGCTCGCAGACATACCTCACACACTTGGCATCACCATCATGGTTTTTACTATCTTTAGCTTTTTCTTCCACCTCATTTCTCCTCCAAAGATAGCACTGGGGAGTCATTAAAAAAATCACACACTGAGACACACAAACACACTTTCTTTCTTTTCTGTTGTTTCATGTAAATGGTTTCCAGACTTACGTTCCATTCGTCAACCCTGTACACACACACACACACACACACACACACACACACACGCACACACACAGATGGAATCTAAGCATGTATGATTGTAATGTTCTTTGTTCAGCTTTATTTACATTGTACACACATACATATGCACACACACACACGCACACACACGTATTACCTCCTGTTTCATGAAGGGTTTATAGGTTATTGTTTGTAATCTTTACAATCAATCTGTTCAACATCAGGACCGTAGCTTCGTTCGCAGCCTTTTCCAAAAAGAGAAGGTTTCTTTTATTTCCTCCTTCCTCCTCTCACGTCTTTGATCTGTAACTATTCCACATAATAAAGCCATTACCTCTCGTTTCGGGCATTCACTTGCATGCACGGGGGCGTTTCCTTGCATCTGCTCTGTCAAACAGACTGTCAGGTATTCTGTGTCTCCGTCACATGTGTTTGAGCGTGTTCTGCTTTCGTTGGCCTACGTCCACATCTTCAACCTGCCAGTTGAGAACGAATTGTGTTCCTCATTTCTAACAAATTGCTTTTGTCATGCAAAACACATTGACTCTTGTTGTAGATCTTTTCTTGCTTAACTTGAATTGAAAGACTTTTTATTTATTTAGCCACATAAAATGTCATGATCTGCTGGATTATGACAGTAGTTTAAACTTTACTAGCCTAGTGAGGTTTAAAATCAAAACCATAGATCTTAATTAGGTGGAAAATGAAGCTGTTTCTCTTTTTGTTTGTGTTGAATATTGGTTAAAAACAAGCTTCAGTGTCTGACCCTACAATGTTTATCCAGAAAAACAAAGAATGGGATGTCACATAGGGCCCAAAGCTGGAGAGAGAGCTGGGCCTAAAGCATTTCTGGGGCGAGGAAGCCCAACCTTTGCCCCCAGAAATCCTTGTTTTGCCCTGAAGCTCTCAATGAAGCATGGAAAATTAAAACAAGATGGACACCTAATTTCTCTATAGGTTAACTTGACTTGAAATATTTCAGTCAAATATTTCAGTTCAAAAATGCTGTTCATCCTCCTTATCAACAGCTTCACTGATTAGTTTCTCAAGTACAATTAATTGACTTAAATTTCATCTTTTGTGTGTGTGTGTGTGTTTTACAGCGAGGGAGCAGCTGAGGCGATCCAGACACAGCAGAACCTTCCTGGTGGAGAGCGGAACCGGAGACCTGTGGTCGGAGCTGCAGACTGGTAAGGCCGTGTGTGTGTGTATCTTAGACAAAAAGACCCCACATGTCGGAGGGCGATACTGATGATTTTGACCTTTAACCCCCAGTAGCGTGACTACAATCAGCAGAGAAATCTACTCTCGCATTGCTACTGACTTTCATTCTCTCTCTCTGTCCTCTTTAAAGTCTAAATTTGACTTTGTTTTTCTTTTTAATCACATTTCTGCATATTGATGTTCCATAAACAATCTATTTGCTTCTGGCATTAACATTTTTCGGTTGTATAATTTAAACATGTCTTTCATTAATCTACAGGAAAACAACCATAATATCATATAACAATTCTGTCATATTCTACATGACCAAACCCAGCTGTTATTCATGGGTACAGCATTTACAAGGGACAATCTAATTTACTGATTTCACAAAACTTTTTCTTTTACTTAAACCATGGCAAAACTCTAAGGAACGATGTGTTCCTGCAGACCTTTTCTGCTCCCTTTCCTGTCCACACACACACACACACACACACACACACACACACACACACACA